CTCTATCTCTTTTATTTATCTTTTCCTTAGTTTACAACTCACAAAGCTACATCATATTACATATATATTAATCTATATTTTAAACATTATACTACATGTTATACTATATGCTTTATATTTCATAATATATATAGCTTATCTTATAGCATATAATAAACTTATATTCATCATTAAATAAAGCATACTTAATATATATATTATATGCACCACATCTTTACCTTATATGATTAAGTACTTAAGTTGTATTTTAATATAAGCTTTTTTATGTCTTTTTTAGGAATCAACGTATACATCAACTTGGGAGCTGGATTTGAGCTTAACTAAGGACAAGGAGCTAGGAAAACTTACATAGGATTACTCAGGAGATCATGAAGAACAAATGGTGAAAAGTTGTCCTTTGCCAACCGTTGCCAAGTGAGCTCATAGCTAGATTGAGCTGAAGATTTGAGCTAGAGAAAGACTTTAATTTATCTTGGGACTTGAATACACATCATCTATGGCCAAAGGATATCAATTTTGTGAAAAGTTATTTTTCTCAAATCGTGCCTTTTCGTGAATAAGTGTCTTTTCGGGTCATGCCTTTTCACGATGAGCTAGCAAATGAATCTGCACGTTAAGGAGCATCAACAACCAGCTCACCATCAGCTCACTCACCTTGCAACATACCTTTTAATGAAGAGGTTCCATCCAAGCATCATGTCCTTTCATGACAAGTTACTGCCCATTGGATGCCATGACACCTAGGTGCACGTTGGTGAGTTTGTTTCAGCTAAATGGAGCCTAAATTGCGAAGAGGCATGAGGTATCCCCTATAACTATTCAACCACACCATGGGACATGCCTAACATATGCACAAGACATTGGTGCCAATATGAAACATCACCTAACCATTTGGACAAGGGAGATGCACTTTCATTTCAGCCGAATCATCATGTACTTACATGAAGAGGTAGCCGAACCAACACCAAGGCCAAAGGACATCTTCATTCAACTTAAAAGACATGTACCTTCAATTAAAAATGAACTTAGCTGAATGGGTACTTAATTATTCGGACAACCCTCTCAATACCTATAAATAGAGGGCTTCCATCATTTGTAAACACACCTTAAAATTTCTAACACTTATCTGTGGGAATTCTCTCTTGCAAGTTCTTTAAGAACTTTATCGATTAAGCAAACTTTTCTATGTTTGTGGCGTCATTCCTTCCCTTTGATACTTTGAGTTCCTAGTTTCCATGACTAGAAGGTTCAAGTCCGAACATACCACCCCTTAAGTGAGTTTATAGGAAACAAGGATAAGTTTTCTATAGCTTTTCATCTTATTTGGCTTATTTAAGATACTAAATTCATCATTCCATTTTCCATCATCTTCACGCCTACACCATCTCCATTCCCATTATCATTTCATCACCAGTAAAGCATCCTTCACTCATCATCAAAGAAACCATCCATCATCACCATTGGAGGCCAAGTTCATCTTCCATTTGAAGGATACTTCTACATCACTTCCGCATCCAACTTTGATAACAATTCTTTCCCCATTATTTCTTTATCATTCCATTTCCTTCCTTAATTTCATTATTAACCATTTCTTTCATTACTTTGTGCATATTTCTTATAATTAAAGATTGGTATAGGTAAGGATATTCACTCTCATCTATATATAAATGTGTGTGCATGTGTGTGTGTGTGTATGTATATATGAATGTTGAGGCATAATTATTTGAATATGTGAGTGTTCTTCAAGTTGGTTCAATGAAGGCATTTGTGATGGATTGAAGAACATGACAATTGACAAAGTTGTTCCTAGGGTTCCCAAAGGTACCAACATATAGTTTGTATTTCACTATTTAGGACATGTTTTACATTAACTTGTTAACATCAAATTGCATTATTTTTAATAGACAGAGGCCTTTATTCGAGCCCGAGATTGCCATTTTCCTATAGGAGTTACTTCTGAAAATGTTGCATAGAGCTATGGTGTTACACATCAAGAGCAAGATGAGGCTACTATGAGTCTTATTTACTTTTATTTTTATTTCAATTTTCTTTTATCTACTGATATAAGCTTAATCATTCTCAGTTTGAAGCACCTTCAATGTGTAAAACATAGGTTGAATCTCATAGGCATGCTGCCGCCGCAACAACCACTGGTAAATTCAAATAGGAAATTGTCCCTGTATTTACTAAGGTAATTTTGTGAAGTGAATTATTCTGGGGATTTTGGAAAACACCGGATGGAGTTGAAAATGCTCTACACAAAGAAATTTCAGCAAATTATCATTCAATAATAATCCCCAAAAACAACAAGTTTTGGGAATATGAAGAGCACAAACAAAATAAACAAAATAAAATCAGGACAAATCATACAAATTTAAAAGGAAACTAAAATATTAAAAAAATTAAAAATTGAAAAAAAAAATTGGGTTTAGAAAAATATGGGAATTTATCGTAAGTAAGAGCACGAACGATGGCAGAGAGTCGAGCATTGATGGCGTGACGTTGGAGGGCTCGACGGCTTCGAGCGGCGACGAGCAGTAGAAGTTTCGTGGGTATTTGGGTATGTCCGGCGAAGATGTGAAATAGGAAAAGGGGATTGTGGGAACAAATGGAAGGGGAAGGGGTTTCAAACGGTTAAAATTATAAAACATTACGACATTTGTAGACACAAACGCCACCATTTATCATTTTATAGCGGCGTTTTCTAAAAAAATGCCACTAAAGTACAAGTTTGTCACGTCGTTTGTTTAAAAATGCCACTATATATGAAACTTATTGCGGCTTTTTCTAAAAAACGCAACTAAGGTACAAGTCTGTAGCGGCGTTTATTCAAAAATGCCACTATAAATGAAACCTATTGTGGTATTTGTGTGAAAAACACCACTAAAGTATCAATTTGTTCTGGTGGTTGTCTAAAAATGCCACGATATATGTACCCTATTTGTAGCGTTTGTCTAAAACGCCATGATATATGTACCCTATTGCGGTGTTTGTTAAAAAAACACCACTAAAGAACTATTATGTGGCGGCATTTGTTTAAAAGTGCCACTAAAGTACTTATCTGTAGCGGCGTTTGTCAAATAAACGTCACCAAAGTATGAGTTTTAGTGGTGTTTGTTGAAAAACACCGTTAACGTTACCATTTAGTGGCGTTTTAAATATAAACTCTGCGATATGTATAAATTTAGTGGCGTTTACTTTGAAAACGCCGCTACATACATGTTTTGCTGTAGTTCTACCGGAATCTATTTGCAGCCTTGGTTAGGAGGCAATGATTCCAATGAAAAGGAAGATAAGCTACACCAACCGCAACATGCTGGAAATCGAAACAACAATTATAATTGAAAAAGTTTTATACAAAATACGGACAATGAAGCAAACAATAAAGGTGAAGTTAACAAAATTAAGTGAATTAAAGGAAATGAATATGCGTGGAGGTTCATCTCCATGGCTGCATGGTTGGATTGGTACTTGAAAATTAACAGACAGTAATGCAGGTTCTAACTCCTACTTAAATATTTTGTGATGCTTAATTTCATAATTATGAGAACATTCTCATTTATGTAGACATTTTGTATTTATATTGTATTATAGAATATAATTATAAATTCAATTAAACAAGTTCATCAAATATCAGTGTTGGCATTTTGTTGGTCTAAGTTGAGAGTTACAGAAACTGGTTTTCAGTGCCATATGACGTATATGCACATGAATTCTGTCAACTATATATGTTTATTTTCTTCGGTTTAGCATGAGGGATTGAACGATGGAGGTGGGTGAGGACAGGCGCCCCAAAATATTAAAATTATCATATATTTCATAATATTTTTATAATTTTTATTGAAAATATATTTTATTCCTTTAGAATTTTATAAGTTCATCATTCCATAAAATTTTATATGTTTATCTCCTAACATAAAATCTCGTGTCCATTCCTATCTAGTATGTAGTATAGCCTTCTAAAAAAGAAGTTTTGTCCATTGTAATTCATCTATATTTTAGATTTTTCTAATGTATTTTTATTGATAATCTATTTTCATCTCCCAAAATTTTATATGTTCACTCACCTCTAAAATTTTATAAATTCAACCCTTCATTTAGTCCATTTTTTTTTAGTAGAAATCATCTTTCGGACTAAAAATTCTCCACGTTTTACTAATTTCTGTTGAAGTTTTGTTATTGATCTTTCCTTTCCTTTCTATTTTTTTATATAAAAAAAACCACTCGAAGGTTTTCTTTTTGTTCGTAACCTGAACTTTTTTTTAACACAAAAAATTGGAGTGAAACATTACCTTTAAGAACTTCAGTTATTTTAGAATCTGACATTTTTTTTCTTAAATGAATCAAATATTCTTCTATTAATCTGTAATGAATATAAGATAGTATATGTTTCAAGTCTCTCAACCATTTATTAATTAACGTTTATACCCTAATATACATGGTGCTCGTACCCAAAATCTCAAAAAATAAAAGCAATTCTTTAATTAATATTGCAAATATTCTTTTTAATATTATTCTTGTTTCTTTTCTCGTTTTACATGCATAGAAACTTTTTTTACATCCCCATATATCCTCTACTTAATTTGAATATATTACTTCTTCTAATTCGTATTTTCTTAGTTTATGTCTATTTTTTTAGATTTGTAGCTAAATTTATTCTAATCCATAATTTCTAATCTTTTTATTTTCAGTTTGTCATTTTGCTCGATTCGGTCAAGTTATGAATGCATTTAAAGCACAATTTTTGAGGGGTGGAATTGATAATTGTAGATGCTCATTTTGTCCGGGGTTTCATTCGAGTTTTACTCGGGTTTATATTACATTATTATTAATATATGGGTGTGTTTAAAATTATGTAGGGATTACGTATCAATAATTATTTATGATGGTGGCCATATATATTATTATGGGGATATTTGACCATTATTATATATATAAGCATATATAAATAATTAAATATATTTATGTACATAAATACTAATGCACTAATATTTTGCAGACCCTTATTACAAAACAACCCATCACTTGACTCAAACAGAGGCCCGAACCAGAGTAGGCCCAAACCAGCTGCAAGCCCAGATGTTACAACCCATTAGTGAAAACCCTAAACCCAGTGGGGTTTTCTGTTGGAAGGCTTAGCGCCGCACAACAGAGGCCATTGGATTTGGGTTAAGCATTCAATGACTCAAGTGAGGTGGTACAAAGTTTAGGGTTTTCTAAACCCTAAGGATCCATGTGCAGCCGATTCTCGACCATTGGATCTGGTTCTAAGATCCAACGACTTGCAACACTCCGAAGGTCCCCAAGCCTACGCGTCTGGTGTATCGAAGACTCCCCAGCTTCCCGAATGGCCAGATCTCGCGTGTAGAGAGCATGCTTGTCTCTCCAATTGCCACCCAAGCATCCACGAACATACCAGTGCCATAGCCGCCTCGGATTGTACCAGCAACAAACCAAAATAACAATGCCAGTACGGAGGGGAGCAGATTTCTCTTTGCCACGCAGAGCCTCTAGTGGTGCATGAAAAAAAGAAAAGAAATTCAGACAAAAAGAAATAAAAGAAGATAAATATATCACAAATCAGGGGTTTCCTGGGATCATCAACAATCAAATAAATCCATACGCGAAAAACAGAGGGGAGAAAACAAATATCAACCAAAAAACCCCAAAAGCAACCGAACAAAAGTCCACAACAATAACATAATATAAAGAAATATCTCTTTTATGAGAGAACAACCCATCGATCAAAAAAGAACACCAAAAAGAAATCCCCTTACCTTCTCGGTCCGAAGAATCCCATCACCGTTGCTCGGTAGTAAAACCCCGCCAGGTCGAAGGTAAAGCCCCATGTTTTAATCGTGGTTGAGTGGTTTTGGGGGTTTAGGGGAGTTGTTTCCTGAAGGCCTTGAATATAAAAGGGGGTTTCAGGTTTCGTTGGCTGTTTAGGGCGAGTTTTACGTCGATCTGGCTCTTCATCAGATTCTTTAGGTAGTGGGGAGGCCACGGAAGCCGTTTATATTTGTTGGGGTTGAGAGAAAGAAAAGAGAGAGAATAGAGAGGAGTGTCGCTTAGAGAAGGAAAATGGGAGGATGCAAATGAGATAGGGTAAGTTTTTTACCAGAAATTCACCCATATACTGCTGTTGAAACGACAACGTTTCAGGGAATGAGGGAACCCGCTTCTGATAAGGAGGGAGAAACTGTGTGGCCACTCCATCTAGTTTCGGGTAGTTGTATTTTGGTTCTTTAACCAGGTTTTTTTTCGAAGTTCCTAATTGCAACCTCTAGGCTCCCTCGCCCTTCATTTTAGTCTTGTGTTATATTATTTTTTATTTCATGTTGTTTTCGCATTTGATATATAATTTTTGGAAATTTTTGTTTTAATCTGTCTGCTTTTTTCATTGTTTATGCATTTACCGCAATATTTCCATGATTTTCATTTTAGTCCATGAATCATAGCATTTTCGAATCTTTAATTTTGGCTTCGTATTTCAGGCGCTTTTCTTTTTAGTCCAATGTTATGTCATCCTTAATTTATAGTTGTTTTTACTATTAACTTGTAACTTTTGCTAGATTACATTTTAGTTCCATGGAATGTTATTTGATTTACTTGTTGTTTTGAATTTTGTATGTTGGTTTTTAGTAATTGTTGTTTTCATCCTTTATGGCATGAATGTTTATATACATACGTATATACACTATATAGATATTTGTTGTATTAAATATTAGTTGTTCCTATATAATGTGTTTTTGTCTCTAAATCGTATTTACTAATTTAATTTCTAAAATCACGTGCATTTTTTATCGTTTAAAAGTAGATTTAATTATATACACTTTACGATTAAAAGTATGAGACTTTCATGTGCATAACTTGACTCAATATAAATAATTTAACTAAGGGTAATATCTTTTTAGTTTAAAGTTGACGTGAAGTGGTTGTCTTAAATTATGAGAAGGCTACTTCCGAAAAATTTAAAAAGAAAATGTATCTCGTTAAGAGAAACCCTAAAATTCAACCACATAAAAATTGGGAACGAGAGAACAAGAAATGTTCGCTTATTTAAATTCTTCTAGAAAAGATCGTTGGAACTTATCTAAGATTTGATCTTAACGCCTTTAAATAATCAAATATTCTTCTTCTTGCTAAAAGGATTGATAAGTTTAAATTTAATTTGTTTAATTTTGTGTATTTCAATATTGCAATGAAACCGTAATATTTCTTTATTTCGATTGGAGTAAGAATTGATTGTCTCAAGGTATTAGAGGTCATTTCTTCTCGATAGGAAATAATTACATATTACTTAGTTTTGTTCTAACATACACGAATTGTTGTAAGGGATCTTAAATTAAATTAAATCCGAACTTGTAAATTTCATTGCAAAGACAATTAATTAATCGACTAGGTACCGATTTAGGGCACTGTGGGGGTGCTAATCATTTATCACACGTAATTGACTCCCGAACTCAATTTTCTGGTACGTAGGTCGCAAATTTGTTGTTTGAATTAAAATTAATATATTTTATTAAAATGACAAAAAAATTGGGTGCCCAATCACACCCTAATCAAAGATTGGTGGCGAATCCTTGAACCGTATTTTATTTTATTTAAAGGGAATTCCAATTTTTTTCAAATTTTTCGAAGCGAGAGATTTTTTAAAATCACATTACTTTTAATTAAAAATTAATCAAAAGATTAAAAATATTGATTTCTTCAAAAAATCAAAAAATCTTTTTGACAGCTTGATGACTCTGCTAGGGACTTTTTTTTCCAGAGAGTCAGGCCGATAGCCGATTAATTAATTGTCTTTGAAAATGAAAATTACAAGTTCGTTCTAATTTGGTTTTTGATCCCTTGTTTGATTTTAAATAAAATTTTGTTTGCATTTTGATTAACCACTAAATAGTTGTGCTGACTCGTTTACTAATGCTTTCATGTAAATTGTGAGTTTTTGGATTTGAGGAATGAGTTTTGTATGTTGTGTGATTGTGTGTTTTTCGCTTTTCCTCACACACTTTACTTGCATTATCATAACATGAGCCAAAACCCCTCTCCGTCCTATTTAAGTAGGAGTGAGAAACTACTCTCTCGTGTGGTTTTCACCTCCGTATGGGATAGTGGATCGCTCTTGGAGCTCATGCCTTATGATCCTCGTGATTGTATTCACCTCTGTATGGACATAAGGAGGTGTGTTCCCTCGAATTGAACTCGATCCGAACTCTTGTGATGGGCCAGTATTGAGGGTCTAGCAATTCGAGAACCTATTACTTTAGAGCCAAACCCAACATATAGTGAACCTAAAAATCCGAGCCTAACCCAAACCATAATAATCCCGTGAGGAGAGTACCCAAGGAAAAGCTTTTTGAGTCATTTAATTTTACTTTCCGAATAAATGTATGCGAACTAGAGATCATGTGGTTAGGTTTATTTTTCTCGCATAAGCATGCAAACTAGATAACATGAGGCTATGTTTTCATGTTCAAATAAAGCATGGGAGTAGATATCATGTTTGGGTAGGATCTGCTAAAGCATGATTGGGTAGCCAGCATGTGAGGGTAGGTCTTATTGACAAATTATATTATCCTTGATTAATTTATTTATGGTTACTTATTGATTTTCTTTTGTCTTTTTTTCATTTTTTCCCATTACACTATCTATTCCATGGTGTTGATTCATGATCGATGTCCATATAGAAGGTTAGTAATATGGAACGAAGGGTTCAAAAAGAGGTCGAAGACAATGCAGATGTTCTGAGATGGTCTGAACAGTCCTAGCTGACCAGTGGAGATAGCTTGTTGCCAGGATACGTGTCAAATTTGGTTGGTTACACCCACATTAATGTTTGCCAAAACGATCTGAGCGAGTTAAATGAAATTTGGGGAAAATGGGAAGCAGTTGACAGGCAATTGTTATATCAACTTTACGGTGATATCTCCTATCTCTTGGATGTCTCGATTAACCGGAACTTGTTTAGAGCTCTTGCATAATTCTGGAATCCCGCTAATAGTTATTTTACTTTTGGAAGAGTGGATCTAACACCCACTATAGAGGAGTATCGTGCTTTGATTCGCTGTCCGAGATTGCAAATAAATAGGATATATACCAAACCACCAAAGACTCATTCTTTCAAGAATAAATTGCTCTTGATGACCGAAATGAGTGAAGAATGGGTTGTTAGAAGCATCATGAAGAAGGGAGATAGCGAATGCATCACTTGGACTACTCTAAGAGAAGTAATTGATCGTCATCCCGACAAGAGGAAGAAGATTGACTTGTTTGCTTTAGGGATTTATTCGCTAGTCATTTTTCCGAAGGTGCTGGGGCATGTGGATGTATCTGTTGTTGACTTGTTTGAGAGATTAGGCAAGCACGTAGACCTTGTTCTTGCCATTTTAACCGAGACATTTTGTTCTTTAAATTCTTGTAGACGAAAAGGAGGACACTTCATAGGATGTGCACCTCTGCTACTAGTATGGATCCTTAGCCACTTCAAGCATGTAGAAAAAGCACCTGGATGAGTGTTTTTAGATGCGTTTTCGGCTTTAAAAGACTTCATTTCCCAAGAATAGCCTGGGGGTTTCACCGAAGAGAAATGGATGGTCATCTTCAATGATATCAGAGATGGTGATATATTGTGGTGAGCTTCATGGATTGTCTCTTAATATATACAATACAAGTGTGGAGAGAAAGATTGGGTTCCTTTGCTAGGTATTTTGGGTTCTGTAGGGTATGAACCTCTATTAGTTTCTAGACAGTATGGATCAAGGTAATTCATCCCTGCAACGTGGGATTTATATGGGTAAGAGTTTGCATTCAAGGGAGAGCAATATAAGAGTAAAGTCAAAGGGGTTGCTGATGCGAGGAAACATACCCATTGTGTAAATCTCTTCACCATTGATCTAAAGCTATCTCAGGAAATACTAACAATGGAGAAGTAATCGAGTTAATGATAACATCCCAATGGTTAATACTGAGAATGTTCAGCCTATGGAAGAACATCTGAGAGTTGTGCCCTCCCCACTATAGCTAGCTAAGTTTGACTTAGAGATGGAAAGAAACCAATGGAGAGAAATCTTGCAAAACCAGTGGAGATTGATATTCAAAAGGGTCGAGTTGATCGAAAGTTGAGAAGCTACTTTGACTAGACTTTGATGATCTTTAATTATTCTACCAACAAATGGTGATGGCTCAGATGGCTTTTAGCTCAAGTAAATCACCTTTAGAGTGGAGACAAGAAGTGGCAAGCCTAAAGAGAGAAGCCGGAGAGAGTAAAGAAGAGCTCTATCAAAGTAGGCATCAAGTCAAGATTATATCAAAAGAAAAAATTTCTTTAGAGCAATGATTACAAGAAAATCGAGCCCAAAATAAGAAACTGAAAGGGAATATGTCGAGTTTAGAGGCTGCATTACGATGATATCGAAGCCTGGTAGATAGCTCGAGCAATGGAGATGTTGAAAGCCTGAAGAAGCAAGTGAATGAGTATAAGGCTATGGTTCAAGATTTTCAGAGGCGGGAGAGTTAAACAAAGAGATGACCTCATCTCTAGCTACTTAGAGCATGCTCAAGGAATAGCTCAATATTTAGTCAACCTATCTTATGAAGCTGCTGCTGTAAATGAAGGACTAGAGCCCGAGGCTAAAGAAGCCTAGAGGATTCTATAATTGCTTACACACATGCAACAATTAGGAGAAGTAGTGCAGATCTATATGTAGTATGTTAAAACCTTGTAATCGAACTTCGTTTCTAATATAAAAAGTTGTTCTAAGGAATCGTTCCAGAATCAACACCTTGCATTTTGCATACGTATTTTTACCTTTCGCAATGCATCTTATTTTCTGCACCGCATTTTTATTCATTCATAGTCAAATATTTCATATTCATTAATAAAATATACACATTAACAAAAAGACTATGTAACAGAATACTGGAAACTTCCAAGCATCTGTATAACTCTAGGAATAAAGCCATGGATAACTAAATCGCCCAAATTGAGAGAACTCAGCAAGAGATACAAGAAAACATGAGAAAGATGCAAGAAGATATATTGAATGCTTAGAAAAGATGTTTGCTAAATTCACTAGTTTGCTTGAAG